GAAAATTCTAAAGAGAAAATATAAAAGAACAGTGGTCTGGAACAGGGAACTTAACCTGGAGAGAAAAAAGGACATAAGTCAATATATCATCCAGTCCTATTAGACACAATAAGCAGGATGAGTTGGGAGGAGGAAATAGAAGTAGGAAAGCAATCTAGAAGTTAAAACTGCACTTAATCTGTGTGCTAGCCACACAGGCCTGGCAGTGGCCCAGTTTTGTAAGCCTGGTTCACATCATATGAGCCAGTTCTTCCCTGCTTGAGTTTGTTTCCCTGCATAGCAGGACAGAATTTCTATAGCAGCTTCTACATGAGAGGTTTAATGTGGGGTTTTAGGAGACCAGATTTTCCTCCCATAGGAAGAAGAGGAGCCTATTTGCTAGCCAGTTGCAGGGAGAGATTTCCTACTCGTGCACTACTTTGTGGAATGTGAGTTTGAATGCTTAGAAATTAGAATGTAGCTTGCAGTTCTTAGAAAAACTCCTATGCTGGGTGGGCAAAAAGGGAAAGAAGAGGCAGTGGTTTACCAAAAATGCAAAAAAAAGGCAGCACCATGTCAGCGCAGAGGCACCACGGGCCGTAGCGTCACTGCGGCACAACGATAAAGGCTTCCTGCCTTACCGTGTTCTTGATCAGCAGGCTAAAACTATGACGCAAATCAATATAATTGTGCTGGATAGTTTTCATGCAGGAAAACACACCATAGAAATATATATTTTTTTAATATATAGGGTTTTGCAGGTTAGAAAAAAAGCTTCTGTAAAATATGAAATGCTGCAGATCTGAGAAGGTCATGACCTCACCTACTTCCCACTTAAAATATATGCGTCTGCTGATAAACTGGGACAAATTATCAGGTAAAACTGGGCCATGAGCAATGGGGAAGGTTTAATTCTGCTTTTACACCTCGGTTTTGCTCTACCAGAAGCTCGAAAGGCCACACTTTTTGATGAAGTCATGGGGGCTTTTGGAGTTGTGGCAGATGAGTCGATGAATGGACTGGGTCACATTGAAGCAGGGCCAGTTCCAAGGCTGCCCAGCGCGAGGGCAGGGGACACGGGTCTGACCTGTGCTCCCTCTGCCATCCGTAGCACAGCTCCACTTAGGGCCAGTTCTTTGCGTCGACGTTTCCTAATCTGTGAGTGTGGGGTAGGTGACGCTCCTGCAGCTTGTCTGTGTTTCTCATAGCTTTCAAATACTCCCCAAATGCTCAAATTTGAATTCCGCTCTGGGTTTCTTTATCACCTCTGTGCAATACAGAGGGAGGAACTCCATCTGTAGTGCTCGGCTGATGCTGGCTGGAAGGAATACACCCTGCTCCCATTTTAAAATCTAGTACGTACTGAAGGTTTTGGTATGGTTTCCAAACCTCTGGTGATGCCCTAGATTAAAGAGAAGTTAGTTTATTTGTTGCAAACATATCCCTTGAAAATACAAAATGTTAATCATAAACATATTTATTTTTAAGATAATTACTCTTGTTACATGAACATATGTGGACCATAACACTTAGCCAGACATTCTTTGCTAGTTAAATTTTAATTTAACTTCGTAAACCACTGTGTCCTTCATTTTAATGTGCAGAGAAAATGTTTCTTAGTTCCCCTAGAATTTGTTAATAAATATTTCTGAATTGTTGAAATGTTTCAGGATGCAAATAAAGCACTGGAAAAAAATGTTAAATGTTAGATCCAGAAAAAAAAGATTTAAAATAGGTGTTAAATCTTAGGTTAGTTTTGACTGAGAATATAATTTCTGAAAATTGTAAATTAGGCATTTTAGAGGGAATTCAGTGGTGGAGAAAGAAATTAAATAATGTAATTTATAATTAACATATTACTATTTGGACTTACATAATTGAGTAATATGATCTTTAGTAAAGATCACCTTATCATCTTCATTGAAAAATACTATTTACTTCATCAAAGATAGCACTGTTAGTTATTTCTTTGCACAGAAAATAAGGTAATTCCTTTTTCTGTACAAGACACAAAGTGCTGTGTCTTCAGTCAACACTTCAATTAACTGCTTAGCTATTTCTTCAGGCAGAAATATCAGAACTATGAAGACAGAGCTTACGCTTTGTAACCAGATCAGTGCACTGCATATACTAGATGTCACAGGTATTTCAGCACATAGGCCAGGGCCTTACAGGATTTCTGCACTTCACTATTTGAAAATTAAGACTGTGTCTCATTAAACCGTAATTGAAGGCTCCTTCTGGCCCCCTGGTTGGGACCCTCACAGCAGTGATTTTGAGAGCCAACACAGCAGTATCACAGCCTGAGTCCTGGTGTGTGAAGGACTGTAGTAACTGAGCACCGGAGATTTTTCCATCCCTACGTCATAACTTGCTGTACTACTGTGCGTTCGTGAGAACACCCTTGATTCCCACAATGCATTTTTTTAAGCAGACGTCGTAATTTGTTGGGAAAGTTTTTGTTAATGTATCTGTAGAGCAGAGGCATTACAAAGCTGCTTGAGAAAGCCAAAAATTTCGATAATATCTTGGTAAAGTGTAATATTCGACTGTAATTGTCATCCGCTCGTCTTCCTTGTGCATTAGAAAATGTGCTTACCAAAAGAGTTACATAATAGGGTGTCCATAAGGTGAACTGTGTACAGACTGTGGCGATCAAAAGCCTGTGCACTGAGGGATCCAATCGTCCAGTGTCTTGATCCAGTGGTGTAGCCTCTTTGCGTATTCGCAAAATTAATACAAGTGCATACAGTACAGCAATAGCTGGGACAACATATCCGATAAAGACCATGATGGCATCTGCTGCCTCTTTGTTCTGCATCTTGGAACACTCGATTATTTTAGTGGATACATGATTGCAGACGTAGAATAGCAGAGAGGAGAAACTCGTAAGCATAGCTCCGCCCCATATGAATCCACAGACATGTTTCGTGTTGTACACACTTGACATGTAAGTTCTAGGTAGAGCACGTTCAATGTAGTAGTCCAGACTGAGCAGCGTAGTAGAGTACATGGTAACTAAGGATGAAACGTTGAATAAAATAAGGAGGGTAATATAAACTTCATTGTTAGAATTCCAGATGGCCCATTTTGTGTTGGCGAGACCTAGAAGGTACATTGGTGCCAGAGCGTTGATGATGAGCCCAGCAATGGCAATATTGACAAAGTAAACATCTGGCATAGTCATAGTTGCTTTGTTATAGATGTTCACTAGGACCAGCAAGCCATTGTAACAAAGGCCAATCGGAAAACATATAATGAGGTAGAGAAGGGAAAAGATGGAAAGCACGAGGTGGAAGTCATGGCAGAGATGCTGGTCCTCACTGTTCTCGGTACTATTTAATGTTTCACAGCTCCACATAGTGATTTTGGCTTTTGATCTTCTCCGCTGGTTACCAGCTTTTCTGTAGAGAGAGAAATAGTAAGGGAATTGGTCAAATATTACATTCTAAATGAAATGCAACATAGTATGAAGAAAATATAGAAGGATGTTTTCAAGGTAAAGTCAATGGCTAAAATGCCTTTTGATCTTGTTAGTCTAGAAGAAAGTCATCCCATCTGTAGCTCACAATTTCATGAGATTAGTAAATGAACTGACATTTCATTTTTTAAAACAAAAGTAGCAAGGGATTAACTACAGGACACTCAACAGTTAATCACATCTATACATATTTTACATTGGTATTTTAATATTTCTACGATGTTCTTATAATTACTAAAAAGTATCTTTAGTACATCTAATAATCATGTAACACAGCAATAGCTGAAGAACTGAAGGATTAAAGATGAGCCACACATCTTAGCAACAAACTGAAGAATATATTTGCCTATCATGTTCTGTGGTAAAGATAAGTATGAAACTATCTCTTCAGATGAAAATTTAGGGGAGACAACCAAGGAGCTATGAGGGGACTGGATATATGCTGGGTCAGTGATAAGGCTGACAAAGATAGAGGAAATCGGGGAATGTAATGATTTTTTTTTATGGGTCTAGACCTATTCTGATTTCAAACCTATAACTGTTTAGCTCTGAAAAAACAATGGACCTCTGTAGTCCAGGGAACCTAATATCAGGGCAGTCTGACTTTGTGAAAAGGCAAGAATTACCTTTTCCCTCTCAAAAGAGGCTGACTTCTTTTTAAAATATGCTAATTTGAATAGATGGTGTCCAGCTGCCTTTTATCAGTAAAGAGGTAACATTTCAACTGAAATCAGTAAAGTTCTCAATGCAGTCATGAAAAGTGTCTTTTCACAACGCTGCAGTAAATGCTGTCTGAAGTACAACTGCAAACATTTACAGCCTTAAAAATATCGTTATTATTCCTGCTAGGCCATTTCTGGGACAGTGTGGGATTTACGCAGCAGGTGATTTCCAAAGTCAAGTGTATTCTGGTGGTGTCAGATACCTTGCGTTATTCTGTGTTCACTCCTCTTAGTATGTGTAGAAAACAACAGTACCCATACAATTCCTTCCAAAAAAAAAAGAGCAAAGATGAGATTTAATCAAATCCCCAGTTAAGACTGTGCAATTAAACTGAATGCTACTAGAAACTTTGCTACATTTAATGAACCATACAGCCTAAATTACACAGTGTGCATTTTGTAAGCATTAAAGAAAAAAGCTGTTTTGCACAGCAGAAGGCAATCAAAATTGCACCTCGTTGAACTGTTAGGGCTTCATTCAACCCAAGCAGCAGCCAGGAGTTAGATCTTGCAAGTGTCTGCGTTGCGGTGAGCGCACGGGTGACTAAGCCCAGGCACGGGGACGATCACGTCCTCCCATTAGGCAGCTCTGTCCCGAAGCCGCTTTGGTTGCTCCGGCCACGTTACATCAGCCGCAGGTACCTGCCCGCATCGGCGCTGAGCGCAGCTCCGGAGGGGCACGTCTGCTCCCACAGCCGCTCCTGAGAGTTACCCTGAAAGTGGGGCTAAATAGGACTCTTCTAATGACAGAAATACTAAGGGATGTACTGTGTTAATTACGAAATGGCAGAGCTTACCTCAGCAATGAGCCTAGATACAGCCCCCAATAAGCCCACGTTCTCTGAAGAAACACATCGCTAATGATGCCTGAAGTATTTCTGCCTCGGCGCGATCGTTGCCCGCTTTTGCAGGCTGCTTACCTGCTTTTGCAGAGCCCCTCTACCTGTTTGCTCTGCTCTCCAGGTCCTGCTCACCCCTTCTTCCCCAGAAATGCCTTTTGTCATTTCACGGGCCCTTTTGCCCTCGCAGATCCGTGTGGGCGAGTCCTGAGGGCGCCACAGACTTGGCCGTTTGACCCGGTAAATCCCAAGCACGAGCCTCCCTGCCCGGGCGCCGTGTTCGAGCTCAGGTCGCTGCATTGCGCAAGCGACTCCCGCAGCCCTCCTATTTGCTCACCCCTGCCTCAGCCTTCCCTAACGCTTCCTTCTGCTTCTGCCCTTTCTGCACTTTCATCCCCTCAAACCATTTCCAGCGCAGAGTCGGAGCAAAGCAGCCTCCTCCGTCGTGGCCCTGACCGCCCCGCGTTGGAGCCTCCTACCTTTAACTCTCGCCGCGCGTTCCTCCGCGCCGCGCCGCTTCCATGGGCAGCGTTGCCGAGGAGGGCAGGCGGGAGGCTCCCGCTGCGCCGGGGAGGCCCCGCGGCGGCCCGTGCGTGCGGCCGCGCGCGCTGCACTTGTTTTTCCCCTAGTAACTTACTCACGAGTCTCTGCTTGGCTTGGCAG